ATATATAATTCTATACCCAGTGATGTCTTTTCCAATTTGGATTAATGTTTTTTTAAGAATTTAAAAAAAATGTTCTAATGTATCTGTAGTCTGATGGATTTATAATTTTTTTAGACTTTTCAAAATCTGCTCTATGTATCAAAGTACCAGTAATGGTTACAAAATCCTATCGTTGGTGGTAATTGTACTTACTACTTCCAAAAACTATGTTTCTACAAAACAGGTTCCATATAATAATAGTTTCATAAGGTAATGCTGATACTTGTATTTACTTTTTTGTTGGGAAACTTGTCCAAATATTTGAAACTTTGTCATTTCACTATTGATAGGATAACGTCATGGAAACTTTCAGAGCCTGTATTTTAAACGCCAAGAAAAATAGGGCCAACAATTTTGAGATATTTCTCAATTTTTATAAAACAAGCATTTTGAATGCTTCGTGTAAAATAAGTTTTTATTTTACTGAACTGCTCTCATTAATAAGATTTAATCTAACTTTGTATACTCACAATATAGGCAGGGTTTCTATACAAAATACATTTTTGAGCATAGATATTTTTAAATTTTAAAACTTTAATTTTGGGTATAAAATATTTAGTGTTGGTTTAGTGTTTTTTTTTAATGGTGTAGTTTTTCGATTCATAAATTTATGTACAGTTCGGCTTTGGCGTTATACAAGTTCAGTATTATCGCTATGAAAGATTGTCAACATAGATGAAAAATAGATTTGAATTATATTATATCTGATAACAATTTTTTCAAACATTGCTTGTTTATTAAAATAAAAGATATGAAATTTTTAGACATTTTTGAAGTAATTGAAAATATTAACATTAATACCGCAAACTAATTTTCGTATTAGAAATCGTGCACTATATTTAATATTTTGGTTAATTTTTTATAAATGCTGTACATATATTTTTAAATATTTATTTTTAACTTAAGTTCTGTTGTTATTCTATCTCACCACAGATAGGTTTAAAAATACGATTTTCTAACTCAAATTTAAATTTTAAATTTTCTTCATTAACACAAAAGTTCAGATAAAAGACTTTATTCAGACTATTTTTAAAGTACCTCGCTTTTATAATGCTTGGAGAAAAAATTCCTATTTTTTCTATTTATATTTCTATTCATAACCCACAACAAATGCCACTGACAGCAGCCCGCATCTCGCGAGCCTTTGTGCACCACGTCTCACACTCGCACACGCCTGCGAGCCATGTGTTGAGTTTGCTTTTATTTTGTAACAACAAACAATTTCGTAATACAAAAACATTGAGCTATGAACTCATAAAAATGCAAACAACTTGTTTGCTGACATTAAAAACTGCTCATACAAGCAATTTACACAAACACATTTGCATACATACAAACCGATATCCCCACACACATATATATACACCTTTATGAACATGCTTATAAACAAACATACACATTTGTTTTGCTTTTTTATTGCCTACATGAGTTTACTATATTAGAGGAATTGCTCCTAAATGTATGCTACACATAAATGTTTCACAGAAAAAATCTGTTAAGTGTTGACGAGCCTCCTTCTATATATTCGTTTATGCATTTTCATATTGTGTTACTTGAAACTGCTGCTCAACAACAACTCAGTTGTTGCTAGTGCTACTGCTATTACCATTGTATAGCTTGTTATTGTTGGCATTGTTGTTATTCAAGCACCATAGTCTAGTTATTGTTTCAATTTTACTATGGCTTTTCCCAGTGTTGCTGTAGCTGGTGGTGGTCCGTGCCCTCATGCCCTCTCTCGCTACGCCTTCGTTGGTCGATCACTCCTGTGGCCTCTTAAATATTCTCTTTTAGTGCTTTTTAAGGTTTAATGATGCTTTTTGCTACTTTGTATTTATAGCAATGTTAAGACGTACTCAGTTGCATTCGCTACTCGGGGGGATTGGGTGCACTAGTAAGTGAACTCTGGTCGAGTGTGACGTTATTTTAGGTTGAATTGGTTATGTAGAGAGTGTTTATTTTTTTACTTTTCGTTTTTAAGACTTCGTAGTTAGAAATCAACAATGATGTGCTATTGTTTGCTTTTTGGAAGAATTTTTTCAACTTTGCGAAGTCTAATACAATTTTGAAAGACCAACAGTCGAAGTCTAATACAATTTTTAAAGAAGCTATGGCAACACATTTCGAACTCTAGCTTACGGTATTGGCTATGAGCCAGCGCGATAAATTCAGTACCAGGTCTGTAGCTTTGATCTGCAATACAGAAGGACTTCCAGCTCAGCTGCAAATTTTATTTAATTTTGTACATGCTTTCCTTTACTTTGTTGCTCTGTTTTATTTTGACATATTAGGATGATGTTATTGCGTAAGAGTTCTCTGTAAAAGTGTTTGAGAATTTATATTTGCGTGGCATTCGATCTGCCTTAGGAGACTTTCGTCATTTTTTTTATTTTATTTTATCCAAAATGTGGATTATAACAAAACTCCTTTCTTTCATCTAACCAAATAACATTAATGAATTAATTACTTTTCAAAAGGGTAAATAAGTAAGTTATATAGTGCTTGTATTATAATCTCTGCTCCATCTAAATTCCTGGACACTATTGGAAGCACAATCTTTAAACGAGTCACAGCTTATAGGAGTCTCAATCAACCTAAAGTAGTGATCCAAAATAAGTAACCGAAAAGAACAGTTCAACACGAAAATCTCACCTTAAAAATTATATTACCCATTAGCCAAAATCTAGATGAACTAATTTACAAAGAGAGACTAACAGAGACGAACAATTTCGGGTTAAAGCTCCCTTATTCAATATTTTATTTGATTTTGGTCAACAAATGGAGTGCAACAAAAACTTTCAAAATCAGCTATTTACTACTTATATATTTGAAAACACAACCTTAATGTCCATATTTGTTTGATAATAATTCGAAAATGACCCACTGTCTTCCCGTCGATTATTTGGCTCGGTTAGTTTGGTTATTTTATGGCCTCTGTCGTTAAGTATTGACTAGTCGCTGAGTCTGCAGGTTTCGGTCATTACACTACATTGAATGCATGTTTAAATATTTGTATGAATATACTCGTAAGTATGCAATAGCTACTTATTACAAGTTTGATAGGTTTAGTATGCATTTTGTTGCAGCATGGAGTTTACTGCTTATCTTTTTTTGCCGCAACGTTTTGTTTTCAGAGTTGTATAGTGTATGAAAATATGTTTTTTTGAGATATCGATCTGAAGTTTTGCACATGTTCTTCATTTCCCAAGAAGTTGGTCATTTATCGGAAGCGCCAATATCGGACCACTATAGCATATAGTTGCCATACAAACTGAACGATCAAAATCAACTTAAAGATATTTTATACCCTTTTATGCTCGGTGCAATTGAAAATAATATTTTTTCTCTCGTATTTGGTAATATTTTTATTTTTTTCAGGGGAAATTTATTGAAACTATTGTACTATGAATACAAGTTACGAAGTTATTTGTGGATTTAATTTACCGGTCAATAGTTTTTGTTCTAGGTAGGAACTAGAGCGAAAAGTTGACTTTCAAAATTTTATAGAAGCTGTAGTCGAAGCTTTATAAAAATAATATACTACGAAATACCTAAGCTAATTACAAATATTCTAATAATATGTAATAATGTCAGTCTATATATTTGTTTGTATTTATTGGTATTACGAAAGCTTCGTATAGCTAGAGCAAAATATAACATATATCTAGCATTTCTAGCTCTCTTATTTGTTAAAATGTACCAAAACAATAAAACTATTGGACTAGTTTATAACTAGTCACAAACATACTTAAAAGAAGAATACCTATTTTCATAAATTAAGATTTTCGTATAAAACATGTATAATTAGAGGGTGTCCGTTTTTTTCAAGTTGATTTTTGCTTTGCAAATGATCCAACGTACTTTATTTTAAAACCGTTCCTAAATCTTTTCAAAAATTTCTTTAAAATTTAACGCAGTTAAAGTTATGCACCAACTGTACTGTATTCATATAGTACACCATGTCGTATGAGCAATACAAAATGTATAAATCACTTGTATACCATAAATGCTCAGGTCATGTAATGTACACTTTTCATAGAAATGTTTTTATGAAAAAAATCATTAAAACCTTTTTTGTAGAGCGGAAAATTTCGTATTGGAAAATCTATTTTTCAAAGTAGAAGACTTACTCGCTTAATGCAAAATATTAAAAAAATCCATGTTATATACATGGGAAAAGAAATATGATTTAGATATGATTTAAAATGAAAATAAAGAGTTTGTTTGAGTGGGCGCCTTATTTTTAGGGCAAAATTTAAACTTCAGGGGCGTTTCCAAAAAAGCAATCAACTTGGACACCACAGATAACGGACAACATAATACTTGTAATGACCCGTGTACTCGTATCTTCACATGGTGTCACATTAAAGAAGAGACATAGTAAAATTGGTTATAGTTAATTCATATAAAATCATTTACTAAAATGCAGAAATTCACTTAGTTCGATTATGGAATGAATCAGTTTTTCAATCTAAATACCAACGACAATATATGGGTGAAGCTAACAAACGAGGTGTCAAGTTGCTAGTGCGAAACTTGTAGCTTTGCCTGCAGCAAATAATAAACCTCTTTACATATAACTAGTTGAATTGAGTGCCTCAAGTAGAAACCCCGAAAATTAACACACTTTCCAATTGTTATTTTATACACATTTTAGGCGACGTGTCTGGCATAAAAGCTATGTATAAAATTACCTGCCGACAAGAAAGTGTGTGAGCGCCGCAAAGTAGGCTACGAATATTTAAGCAAACAATATATGTGTGATAAGAATACCAAGTACTCGTGTATTCCGTTATATATGCAATAAAAATATTAGTATAGTTTTATATATATATAAATATATATTGTGTATATGTATGTACGTACATATACAAAGAGATATGTGCTTTTGTGCGTGCTTATTTCACTTTAATTTCGCACACACACATCTACATTAATAACTAGTGTATCATGGAGCAACTTACGATTTTATGATGCAGCGCGACCAACTCACGTTCCGTTACACGTCGGCTGGCTGCCTCGCGGCGTCTTTGCCGAAATTGACTGTATTTGTAGGCCAAAATAACGCCGGGCAGGGCGAGCGCCTCCAATGGTGATTTGCGGCCGAATGGCATGCTTGCTTGTTTTCGCTACTTTAGGTGTTGTTGTTACTACTTTTCTTCGCTTTATGCTTTTATGTTGCGCGAAAGTATTATTGCTTGCTTGTGATTGTGGTTGTTATTTACTATTACATTGGTATGTTTTGTTGTGCTTTTTGGTTTTCTCCGCCACCTTTTCGTCGGCAGTTACGTGCTTGCCTCCCCAATTAGCTTAACCCCAATTGGGCGTACATACATATGTGTGAATTACACTATTACGCAATTTAATTTAAGCACACACGCACACAAAAATACTTTTACAACATGTATGTGTTTATATGTTTATTTATATAAATTCTCACTTATATTTATAAATACATATCTCTCCTTTCACTTGAACTTTTCTTTAGTGCTTGTTATTGTACTTTCGTTTCCAGTTCGCTGTTTTTGCGTTTTTTTATTTTCTTCTTCATACTTTTCGCTTATTATTTTTCTTGTAATTTATTTAGGTTTATTTTGCATGATATGGATACACTGGACCACTTAGAATTTTTGGCAGCATACAATTGTCATTAGAAATAATTAATATTTATTATTATCAATTATTCTTAGCTTTTATTTTATTTTTGTGTTTGTTATATGTAGTTTATTTTTCATTTCCTTCGACGTAAATATTAGTGATTTTCGAAAATTTAAACCACGATTCACTAAATATGTTGTAACAATTTGGAAAATAAATATTTGGAACTTTTTACTTAGATAAAAGTTGTCAACTCGCCATCTAAATATTTCCTTATTCAAAATTTTACACCTAGACCTACTGACTTACTCTTTTAAAAAACCTCTATTTTTTATTTTATTTATACTACTTTTCGTTTATGGAATGTGCTACTGTTAATAAAAATATCCTTTATAATTTCTAAATTCATCGAGATTGGTCGAATAATTGGTACCAAATTGGTCTACATTTGGCATGGAAAACAATTATTTTCTATATTATTTTCGGAATCTTCTTCAATAGATGGCTCAGATTTAAGACTCGAAATTGTTTAAACAGCATGATTATTACTAGGTGTGAGCTACTCATATACAATATATCTGAAAACCATAATTTTCAATTTGGCCTAAGTAAAAAGGATCTAAAAGCTACTCAGTGTTCGTTAGGCAGGATTGTGGTTAAAGTTCCATACGAATTTCCAGTGGTTGTCGGACTAAGAAAGATAATATAGAATTTAGATTAATTTTAAAAGTTACCATTTTTTCCTTATTTGAGTAGTCGAAAAGTTTCGTACAGCTCCTACTAGAGAGTACCGCTGAAATTGAATCCATATGTTTTGAAGTGAGATATAATCTTCATGAAACTAGTGTAAAAATATCACAGCTGGTGGATGATTAATTCGTGAGATGTAGCATTTCGAGTAATGCTAGTTTCAGCATTTCGTAATAAAACTGCATTAAAATCAGTTTTGTATGTTAATGACTACTTAAGACTATTTTTAAATTAAAAGTACTCCACTGACTCCAAAAGTTGGACTAATGTGTATTATTTGCGCTCTTTGCTAAGGGAAGCAAGTATTGGTTATTGGTTTGCTTAACTTCGAATAGGCCATGCGAGCAGCAGAAAACGATAAAAACAATAGACGTCCAAACGACATTGGTAAAAACTCGTTCAAAATTATTTAGAAGGTTTTGAAAGATTGTAATTAGAGGTTGTATGAGATAGCACACTCCTCGAAGATGTGAAAGGAAGGTGTTGGGACGTTATTGAATGAGCTGATCTAGTTCTATGCAAACTGGGTGCTCAGCGGACTCAAAACTAATTAAAACTGATTATTCTCCATAGTGTTTGGAGCAGCAATTTTGATACCACACATTTTTATTTATCCCGGCTACAGCATTTTGTTTCCAAATACGGTTTTAGAGTTATTTTCATTTGTATTTTCTTTTTTGATACTCGAATAGGAACCAACCGCCAATATTTCGAGTTGTCTTAAATAAGCATCAGTAGATGAAATTAGAATTAATTTTAAGTTAAATATTATTTAAATGATTGACATAAAAACTTTCACAACTGTTTCAAAAATACGCAGATACATCTTTATTTCATTAACAAGAATTATTAAATCTAGAAAACATATATGTTTTAAAATCCACTAACACGGCACTAAAAAATTAAAAAAATTCACAAATTCAGCATAAAAATCTTGCTTCAATTTCAACTTCCAAATAACTAATAATTTCACTTGCACTTTCTAGCTGCTTTGAAGGCCCAAACACTCGCACTAAGAAAACACATATCGCAATAAATCACTTTCAAGCAATGTGACAAACTCGCGCGAAGCGTAAAGTGACTGCTGCAACAACATAAAAAATGTGTACAATCACGCACTCCTACAAGTATGCTACTGATTTACTATTACAAGTATAACGGGCGAAGCAAAGCGCGGGACTGCGGCATTAGTTTACTACAGCTACTTGTTGTTGCTATACACTTTAGCTGTTGTTTTTGTAAAATATGCAATTTTACTTATTCGACTGATGCCTCGGTTACATTGAAGCGCGTTTCGATGTGACCACGTGCACGCAACCACCAAGAATGTGTCGCACTACCTCAATGTTTCGGCTCGTACTTGGCTCAATTAAGTTGCTTCGACTTTCACACGCAGCGCCGAGCCGAGTGCCACTGCCGAACAGCATCCCTGGAGCATGCGAAATGTTTAAATCAACAAAGTGGAACGGAAGAGCGAGTGCGAAATGACTTTTGGTTGATTTGCCACCGCCAAAGTATATGGATAAGTAGAAGTGTGGTGGTGGGTGGGCTTTCGAAGATTCGTTCGAAAATTTGCATTTAGTAATATTTGAAATAATAAATTATTCATACATTTTATGTTATGTTAAGTTATATATGTGTTTTTTTTAATTTTATTTAAATTTTAATTCATTTAATTTAATTTATTTTCATTTAAATTTTAATTTAATTCAATTAAAAATAATTTTTTTTAATTAAAATTTTAATTTAATTTTTATTATTATTTTTATTTTTATTTTTATTTAATTTAATATTCTTTTATTTAATTTTAGTTTATTTCTTTTTATTTTATTTTTTAGCTGTCTTGTGTGTAAATTTAATTTTAATTTTTGTACATTTCATCTCATTTGACTTAATGTCTCTCTCATTCGAGGGGTGTTCTCTTACTTTTGCTATACAAGCAAGGTTTCCAATATCAGTCAAAGCACTTTCCTGCTACCTCAACAAATTTCTTTTTAGAATGGGAGAGAGATGGATTGGAGACGGTCTGGGCAGGAAACGCCATAAACACTTGTAGTGAGCCAGCAAATAATCTTTGACCAGATATTGGCTTCTGTGCAATTGCATTAAGGTTTTAGCGGGCAATAAAGAAAAACAAGTTTAAGGCGTCTGTAGGCATGCAATATTTTTTCCATGAAATTCTTGAAGCGGCAGTCCCTTATTTGTACTTTTTATTTTCATTTCGTTAGAGCTTTTAATACCTTTGTTTAATTATTTTCCCACCATTAATACCTGCCTTTTATCATCTTACTGAAGTCGACGCCCCGAAACGACACGTGTCAATGAGTCAGTCTCCTGTCCAAATACTTTGATACTCACGCAGTCAGTCACGCTTCAGCGCTCGCGTGTATTCCTCAGTTGTCAGTGTTGCAAAAACAAAAACAACAAAATTTCGCCTTTATCACGCGATTGTCGAATTTTCGTCGTGAACGGACATGCAATTGACGGCTTTCCCTTCAATTTTAATGTGCTTTCATCGCTTGCTAAGCCCTAATTTTTACCTAGGTGTAGCTGATATTGCATTTCGCACAACATTGGTGATTTAATTGACGCGAATAATCTGTCTTTTCAGGTTTTGTTGCTATATTTCGTAAGTCATGGCACGTGACCCACGCTAAGCGCTGCGTCTTTCCATTTGAGTTGTTATGGTTAGCCGTTGGACACTCTCCCTCCTTGCAAAACACCGTTAAACACACGCGTTATTCTTTGTTCTTGTTGTTTTGTTCCAAGTTTGTCCTTTACGAACAACACCGCGCGCGCCAAGCTCTACACAGTTTCACCACTTAACTTCAACTGACTGCCCGACATAGCTTCGCTATTTGGCTGACACTTGATAGTTGTTGTTTTTGCGCGGTTTGGGGTTTCTCAATTTACTGTGTGAAAACATTGCTGTTGACTTGCCGGTCGAAGGAGGTTAGCCCAGGTATAAATTTCGTATGAGCTGGCTCTCACTTCCAGTGCGCATAGTGGGAGAGCGAGAGCACATTAACTGATATAACATTTTTTCTCTTTTATCTTTTGCAGTTGTTGCTTTTATATTCATTTTTGCACTTACTTCTCTCGCTTTTCCACTTTTTCACCGTACACCGCTGCATAGTCGTTCGTGTAAACAAATCGCTGTCAATATTTTCTTTGCTTTCTTTTTCAACGTTCTTTCGTCATCATCAGCATGTCACTGATATGTCACCCAGCAACATTTTCATCCCCCACTGCTGTCGCTTGTGTGGCATTTTGTCTTTTAGCATTGCAGACTGTCCTCTGGCATTAGCTGTGTCTGTGACGTTGAAATTATAACCAATAAGCTGCATTTACTTTGTGAAATAAATATGTCACTTCCGTTTGTTGTACGTATTTAGTGTTGATGCGACGTTATAATCATTAGTTCAAGCAACCAGTAGAGAAAGGTGTGCCAAATTTTTCAGCGAAGTGACTTCATTGGTAATAGCTTATGTTATAAAATATAGTTTAATAATAACTAGAAGTAACTTGTGGAAAAATAGCTACTTTGCGACTTTTCTACGGAACCAGTTACAACAATTCTATTATGAACCAGTCAAACATATATTATTAATCAGTTCAAAGTGTCTTTCCAACAATAGCAAATTAATTTGATAGTAACTAGTAGAAAAAAGACATTAATTCACTATGTCGGCATTAGTTTATTACGGACTAGTTTGATATTTTACTATTGACTAATATTGTTTAATACAAATTTTGTTCTAATTAACTCCAAAACTAATGGCAATAAGTCAGAACAAGTTGTCTTCGGCACAATTACGTCTACGCTATAAGCAGTTATTTTAATAATAAATAAATCAAAGTCAAAATCTCTTAAACTCTCAAAGAAGTAATGTGCTGAAAGTGAAAATAAATTTACCTTGACGATTTCTTGCTGTGTTTGCGGACTTATACAAGTCATTATATACATGAACTTCATTATACATATGTACGCGCAATAAATTGCTTGAATTCCCGCATGGCTTAGGGTAAGCATGTGTATTTCTCGCATTTCCGCCTTCCTGCACACTGTCCGCTTGCTTTACTTCACATCATCTAATTTGTTGGTATACATATTATGCGGACTGATATTAGCGTCAAATCATTTGAATTCCCTTTTGATTACGCTGATTTATTTGTACAATTTGTGAAAATCTGTTTTTTTTTGCGAAATATGTCATCAATATATATATGTAAACTCATAACATGCGTTAATATATATTAATATATAAGGCAAATTTTCGAGCATAAATATGTAAAGCATGCTCGCTTGTTGGGTCATGGCTTTATTAGCTGTTTTTGACGCTGGTCGCTACACGAAACTGGCGGCTGCTGCTTGGAGTAGCTTGTGATAAATGAAAAAAGTTTGTTGAAACGTGAATTCATAGTTCTCTGTATTGCTTTCAGCTTCTAAAAATGTTTACTTTTGTTTAAAAGTCTCAGATTTTGCAAAACTCTTGGGAAATGCGTATGAGTAACCAGTTTAGGTGCTTTTTTAAATTTTCAATTTTAATAGGAACTTTAACTATTTTGCAGGATTTTAATGACTCTTCATGCTTATTTTGATGTCCGTTTCCATCTTGTTTAGGAGTAGTGCAGTCTTGGTCATATAAGTTTCACTTGGTAGTAATAATTTCTACTCAAAAAGGGACATATATTTCATGTAGCTACGTAAAAGAAAGCCAACTTGATTTTCATTGAAATAATATATTTTTTATGTATAGTAATTTTTAATATAATATTTAATATCCTAGTCTTCTCTAGAATTTTATCTTTTTTTCCGCCTTCTTATAGCATCAAAACCCATATGGATTTAATAAATCTAAAATTGTCTTGTTTTTCAAAACATTAAACAATTACATTCACGAAATTATAGTTTTAAGAACAGCAGTCGGTGCGTATGAGTAACATTTTCATACTAAAACTTTGAATGTTTTCGACGCTTACAATTTTTACACCTGCTGGTGTTAATATTAATTATTAGGTAGCTGTTTGCAATAATCGCCCCAGCGCTATCTAGTTTTGGGTTTTACCGTAATTAGTATTGTACTTTAACACTTCATATTTGTTTTCTTTATAAACGCCATTTTTCGAATGTTGCTTTAGTCTGATTCCAACCATGAGCAGTACCGACATCTTTTCTTTTGAATTGGGTATATGCAACCGAAACTAAATCAGATTTTTATCCAGTCAAAGACTGAAAACTCGACCGTATTCCTCAAAATTATTTTTAGAATGTTTTCTACAACCACAATAACAACAACCAGCATCTTAAAGCACAACAAAATGTATGTATCAAATTTTTTTTAGATAACCGGTGGGACTGACAGGCAGCCAGTAGAGTTCATCTTGTCATCGTGATCATTTAGACATATATTATCTTATATATCATATATATATTATACAATATTATATCTGGACAGAGTATTGTGTAGCGAAAAAGTGATGCCAGGACATATGAGAAATATTCTAATATGATTTATTGTTTAGTTGCTATATTCTGTAATAAAAATTGTATTTCAAGTTTGATAATTAGGTTCGAGTTTAGATTTCTGGTAATATTATATTTGATTTACTGAGACTTTACTCAGTGCGCAGGGGCGTATGAGTGTTCTGGTTATGACGTGTTTTTTATTCTCTACCTAATTTTTAACTATGTATATTAAGTTGAATATGTTTCACTACATTTTATAATTGTATGAATGAAAGAAAACATAAAACGAATTTTTAAAGCTGGATGATAAATGACCGCAGTGGCAGATCCAATAAATTAACAACTTCAATGTTTAACTCAGCTTAATTACAAACACAGCGCAAACTGACACACACGATGGCAACCTAAAGCGAAGTAAAGACAAATCAATTCAAAAATTAACAACAATTTACAAGCATTTTCCATTAAACATTGATAAGTGGCCGATAGAAGAGACAAAATACACAAATGCAATCACAATAAATATTTTTCCAACAAAGCGATAGCTGGTAGCAAACAAATGATAAACAACGGTGGGAAGAGGGTAAAGACCATATTACATAGTAAGAAATGCTAAACACTACATGCTTGCGATTTTGTTTTCGCTGTTTTGAGTGATTTGTCTATAAATATGTACGTAAACACCGTTTTGTATACCCCCTCAGTTGCACTACTCTGAAGACTCAAATAGTAGCCAGTGATGATGATTTTTTGTTGTTATTGCACCGTTTTTGCTCATATTGTTGATATTGTTATTGTTGTTTTTAGGTATTGCTAGATTATTACGCAGATCAATAGACGTCATACGCGCAGGTCACACAAGAATTCGAGGTGAAAGCGCCGTTAGGCAACTGTGTAAAAAGTCAAAGTGATTTGAAGAAGCGAAAAAGGACAAAATTGTGGGTCAGTGTTGAGAGAAGGTAAGTGGGAAACAACGAGCAATGAAGAGAGAACAATGTATGGAGTGCAGAGAGAATTAGAGGAGAGCAGAGTTGAATATACTTATTACTTTGTGCGAAAATATTTATTTACTATTTTCTGCAATAATATGAGATGAAGCATTTCGCTCTTTAATTATCTCTTTCAGTTGAACTCCAAACTCTCTCAATGGTTGGAATGACGCCATTGGAAGTGTAAAATACATGTTTACCTTAAAAAAATGATATGTTTGTTGGTAAGCATCATAACGGTAACTTTTCGCTATTGAATTACTATGCGAACTGGAAAGGTAATTTGCCGAAAGATGGAAGAGTTAACAAGAGCGTGGTGAGGAAAGGTACGTACAAAATATGACCATTCCAAAAGCTGCCAATAATAAGTGCAGTGACGTGGGCTTAAAGGGGTGAACTTGTGAGAAATTTTTCTAAAGATATTTGCTTAATAAGATAACATTGGGGGTATTTATATTTTATTTATATAAATTACAACACTAAGTTTAAAATAATACAATATTTGAAAATCTTTGCATTATTACTCCAAAAAGTAGTCTACAAAATAAGGTAAAGTTGTTAATTTTTCTTAATGATAGCTGAAAATATGCTATTATGACAAAATCAAGTTAAACAATGAAAAGGTTTTAATTTTAGAATACTAGTAATTGTAATTATTATTTTTTTGTTATCTTTTTTTATTATATTCTCTTAAAAACCATCCTTTACATATAATATAATTGAACCAGCTTCTCACAGTTTTTTATTAAAAAAAATTATGAAACTTGCTACCGAACGAAAAACGCAACTAAGAAAAGGCCAAGTTCGGGTGTAATAAAAAAAAATCTACCTCCAATGGGTGCCAAGGAACATATTTGCTAAGTTTCATTAAAATATCTCATTTTAACTCAACTCACTTACACCTGTATAAATGGACAGAGTGTCGCCCGAAATTCAACTCGTCTCGTTATCCTGGCTATTTAGATATAAATAAGAAACAACCCTTAGGTGAATAAAGGTATTATACTCTGCAGCAACAAGGAGCGAGGGTATACAAATTTATCAAAATAATTTTTGTAAAGAAAGCTAATACCATAGTATTGAATTACAAATTTTGTGCAAATATGATTTATTTCTGATTCAACTCAGCAAAGAAGTATGACAATAACTGTTCTTTTGTAAACTTCAATAATAAAAAATCGTTTATACTAATTATATAAAGAATAATGAAAATTAAAATAGTTCCTCTGTGAATATAGATGCTTATATATTTAAAAAAAATGATGACTTCTAGACGCTGCATATTCTTTTAATAAAAATGTAAAAAAACAAATGTGCGATACTTAAATAAGTTAATTATTAATTTAATTAAAAACTACTTTTAAAGTTGTTGT